ATTTCCACTGTCATGTTACAGATGAGAAAACAGAGTTTAAAAGGGAAATAATGCACTCATGATTATGCAGGAAAGATACCGCTGGAACTCCAATAGAAACCAACTGGACAATACAAGATACCGCTACGCAATGAGTGGCAAGGTGTGTGTGTGTGTGTACACTAAATACCATGAGATGGACAAAGCAATTATTCTGGCAACTGGGCCCCACGCCAGGAAGAAATGTTCCTTAAGTGCTGTCCAATAGTGTTTTCCCTGGGAGCTTTAACCATCATTAGTGAAAAGCTTTATTTGCAATACTGTGCACAGCCCACTGTCGTGGGCCAGAGCTATGCATTATCACTAACTCAAAGAGATTAATTTAATGGGTAATTATATGCTTCCTGACTTGAAATACTTTCAGGTAAGCAGGAGTTGCCTGTTCTCTACAGATGCCAACTGGCGGCTCTCAGGTACAGAGCCTCAGGGATTTTTGCACTATTTGCTGTGTATCAGATCCTGTGTGAAGAACATAAGTTAAAAATTTGCACTCAGCATCCCTGAGACTCCCTTTCAGGAACTCTCTTCTAAGCCAATGGAATAGCACGCTGTCCTCTAATAAGTCTCCTATGGCATTGCTTGGTGGCTCGAGATCTCCAGTGCTGCAAAACCTTAGCCCTAATTTCAGTATCTCAGTTTTGCATAATCAGTGCAGGAACAAAGTTTTAAAAAACAAAGATGAAGCAAAAGTCAAACCCACCTCATCTTTTCTCTGTCTTCCTTTGCAGTACCACCTGTTTTCGTTATATGTATAGTTTTAGGTGTGTGTGTTAGGGGGCGAGGATGAAGGGGCAGGGCAGAGAATTTAGGAAAAAAAATGTTTTTCTTATTCTGGATTATGATGCAGTGTGTCTTGGTTGAAATTCAGGACTATTTCTGGTTTCTTTGTTTGAAACAATAATCTGGGTGTTCTTCAGAAAAATCCGGTCTTCTGAAATATACTTTGTTATCTTCATTATTCTCTACATCAATTTCCCAATCAAGGAATTTGATTTCCCCATAAAGAGCTCCAAAGCTCCCTCTTGTTCCTTAGGCAATATTCCTATCTTGGTTATAAATGTTAGGTGGGGTGGGTGAGATCTGATCAGATCTATTTAACTTTCCTCCATCACAGCCTAGTTCCTGCTGCCCCCGCGCTGGCTTTATGGAGGAAACAGCTCTGTTCATTTGCTTCCTTCAAGAAGTGATGTGGCAGTGCCAGAAGCTCATATGGAGAAGGAAGAGCTAAGGGAGGCTTCTGTGGATGGCATTCCAAAACGGGAATCTTGAAGTTAATATGACTGGTCCAATCTTGTACCTCCAGCCCTGAATCCTTGTTTTCTACAAAACCCCAGATACATTCCCTAACCAGCGCCCGAGTTTTCTTGTATGAACAATGTATATAACAATAATACCTATTTCCAAAGTATGTTTTGAAAACTAAATGTATCATAAGGCTAACACAATGTTTGCATAATGTTTAATTGGTAAAGTAAATTTACCTAAAATCTTCCCCATTGTGTTGAACAACAGTCATGCTGTGTGGCTTCTGGGCTAGACAGGCTTGTGACAAGCACAGATACTCGACAGAAGCCTAAGCTCCTGGGAGAACGTGGGTGTCTGTCTGCCAGCACACATGAGAAAGGTCCATTGCTTGGAACGGCAGCCATTGTCCTTATCCCTGAACTGCATGGGTTATGCACGCTCAGGGAGTGAGGCAGCTCAGCCTTGAGTAAGTGAATCTTAGCCCAAGAGGATAAAGAACATTTCCATTCTCATTAAAAGATAACAGATGGACTTCCATAAAATCCAATTTTTAGCTTAATTTCATTCATTTAAATCTTTTGTCTGATGAGAGCAGCATTTTGAGAGTAATTTTAAATTGTTCTCTTCGGAACGATTATTTCTTTATCATTAGTAGAACCTCCCCCCTGTGGGGTTCTGTTATCCTGGGTAGTTTTAAATATTCATCTTGGACAAATAAAATAAATCTCTCTTTATTATTTTTCCCTAAGACTTGGTTTGTGGCTTTGAAAGATAAATATTACGTGATGGGCTCAGTAAACAAAACAAGTTGCTAAGCTAAATTCATCATGTCTCTAATTTTTTCTAGATTTTTCTATGATATGATTTCTACTTCTTGAATGATTCAGAACACAGATAAATTAGTCACACTTTTTACATTTTTCAGTGTTATGCCAACCCCTGCTTTTAGTTTACAGATGGAATTTAAAGTTCTGTTTTGTATCCTCATTAGTTCCAGAAAAGTTGGGTGAAATTTTAAGAGTCAAGCAAACATTTCAATTTATAGCTCTACATTACCTGAGAATTAGAATCTGAATTAAACTGTTTCTTGGCCAACCTAAACATGTAGTGTGTGTGTGCGCCTCTCAATCTATGACCTAAGAAAATCAAAAGGTAAAAAAATATTTAACACCAACATCAACCGAATGATGCATATTATGAGGTTTACAGATAATCCATGGGGCTTCTTGGGGGCTTAAGTATGCTGGATTCACACTGAACTAACCATAAACCTTTGGAATTTGGGTTATTTCTCTGAAAAAAAATGAACATGTTATATATTCCACTCTTCACATTTTTCCTCATTTGGTTATGCTTTATTTGTAACAATTTCACAGCAACACTTCAAATGAATTAATTTGATCATGGACAAAGGCAAATTTGTCCTATTTATTAGGAAATAATACTTTAATACAATCAGATATCGCTGGATGAGGCCCATCTTTGTTTTTGTTTTTTTCACTCTGTTATTATGGTGCTGTTGGAATTCTAAGTACTCATCGCCTTCCTTTCCTCTGTGTGTTTCTTTTTGGACTTCTCAGGAGATTAATTTTCATCAGTTTTACACGCAGGGGCTCCCAGGTGCTACGTGAATGAAAACTTCAAGATGGCACTTTGCTTGGCTGTTTTACTGCCCGCTATGCTTCCCAGCCACCAAATGAGTGCTTGGCAAATAGTAAACATGCCATCAATAATTACTGAACGACTGAGCAAATGGATGTCTTCCCTGCCTGGGTTTGGTACCCTTGCCGCCCAGGAGTTAACAGCTCATTGCCCTAGAACATCTGCTTTTGGATCTGTCATCCTTATTTGCTTGTGATTCCTCGTAAATGAGTCTTTTGTTTCTGGATTTCCCAGAAATGTTTGCTAAGCACCTGTTCTGTGTATTCATTTATTTTTACTTCTTAGAATTGAGTACATGATTGCTTCTAATTGGGACAACTTTGATGAATATGTATTTAAAGGCATCTACTTCATAAAACAAAGTAACATGAATTCAAGTTAACTATGTCATGCTCAATGTATGAGAAATTTTTTTGGAAAATAATTTGTGCCTACGTACTTGAAGGAAAACTGAATCTTCTGAGTGTTTTATAAAACCTTAAACCAATCTATATAGATATAGCTTATCTCTGAGGCTTAAAGTGATCCTGGGAGTTCAACTTTTTAAATTACAAAAAGCTCATGTTTCTAACCTTCTAAACTCAGTGAACACTCTTAATAAACCAATACCGCCAACTGATGTCTTCTCTCTTTAAGCCACAGGAATAAACTACCACCAGTGTACCACATCGGGGGAGGCGAGAAAAGCAGCCAGGTTTCCAAGGTTTTGCCTTTATCTAGGACCCAAGCTTGGTAGTTTTGAACCACACTTCAACTGCCTGTGCGATCTTTTTCTGCATTCAACACGGTGCTAAGAAACAGGCATTTTCTACTCCTGTATCCCTTTGATGCAGAAGTTCATCATACAAGGATCCATGTGGTCAACTTTCCTCTTATCACACAACAGGAGAACTCTTACTGAATTCGCCTTATATTTCAGACATTTGTCCCGTTTTCAGTTTAGCATCCAAAGACCCTAGAGTGCATACAGGAGCATCCCTCCTATATCGCCTGTATCTTCCACGTGATGTGGTGGTCCATGAGTCCTGCTTGATTGGTACCCCCTTACGCATCTTCTCTCTACCCTAATTCCTTAGAGAATTTACTGTGTCCCTCTAATTGGTGTACAGCTTTTTTTAAAAAAAAATTTATGTACAGCTTTCAAAGGCTCATCAACTCTTTTATGAAAGAAGGCTTTCACCTAATAAGCAAAATGCATTTTGCTTAAGAATAGGATGAATTTGTCTCTTGTTTGTTTGAATTTTTATGTAATAAAGACACAGAGCAGTGGAGTGTAATCTCTCCAAAGTAGCATAAAACTAAATCTCATCACATAGCCTTGACTTAGAGACTCAAGAATGTCATTACATGCAAAGAAGCTATGCTATGCTCATGAAAAATGAACAAAAAATAAAATATATTATTTTATTATCCCTAGAACTTGTGACCCTTTCATTATAAGCATTAAATTTCATATGCAATTATGAAAAATTATATCAATTCTGAAGCTGCAATTTTAAATAGTCTATTATTACTGTATGAAGTACATTGGATTTTAGGAATCCAAAATGCTGTTATCTATGAGCTCACCTCTGCTATGTAATATAAATCGACACTGTGAAGTTTCCTTTTATATATTCCACATGTATATGTGTACACATATTTGTGTAATTTAAATATATGAGCATTTCTTTATATAGTGCATATGCAATATACATTAATGTGTACTTTCTTAAATTATACTGCACAGTTCCGAAATATTTTCAATCTACCTTGTATTAAATGCTTTATTATATTTTGAAATGTAAACAATTTTGTAAAACCTAAATAAGATATATTATATGTACATTATAAGAAATATATGTAAGAATATTTCTTCCCTACTTATCATGCAACCATTTGGTAATTTATCATAAAAGAAATTATTGTGTTTTAGGATCCTAGGACTCCTTGGGAGAAACAGGATACATTTCACTTATTAAATCTATAATGCAAAAGAGATGGTTATCAAGTGATCAGGGGGCACAAATTTAAACCAGTCACATAAGAGTAAATGAAGAAGCTCAATCACTTACTAATTTCAGTAGCAATGATTGTTATGTTGTGCCATACACTTAATTCTCTGTCAAGGGGTGTTGCCAATGTTATCTTCCCATCATCCGCATTAATGTTGAACTGTCTCTCCAGGTCAGTGTGCCGGTCGATGGAAAACCTGCAAGACAGGCATATCTGTAATCTCTCCAATGTTGCTATGATCCATGCATTCTACAGCAAGCCTTTAGTAATCCTTAGAGAGCCATAGTTGTAAAGTCAAATGTTTTGGGAAACTCAGTGGTATCATAATTTGTAAAACAAAATGACTGAATGAGGCACAGGAAACTCAACAATTATTGTCCAAGGAGCAATTAGTTACCTATGCAACATGGAGGTCATAAACCGCCATCCGTTTCAATAGGTAGCACCTTCAAAAATGGATACTGATGAAGAGTTAATTGGACAATCCATCACGTTTATTAGACAGCTTATGATAATTAGCACTTGCCACAAAATATCTTATAAAACAATGAACTAAAGCCCAAAGCAGCACGGTGCTACGCTACAAGCTACTTATGACAACTGAAGGGAAAGATATGTTTTTGCTAAATCTTCATTTAACTGAAATGCATGTAGAGGTCTCATTTTGCTTTATGTGGTGGTTGTTCTGTTTTCACTTTAAGTACAGCATATATTTAGGTATTCGGTTCATCTCAAATCATAGAAATTACATGGCTGTTGATTCTGCATAATTTTTAAAAAAAATTATAATTGATACTTTAGCATGCATGCATATGTCACTAAATTCTACTAAAGTAAGAATTTCACATGGACACGTCAGTACTTCCTTGATTGAGAAGAACTTAGAAAATACTGTAAGTAAGATGTCTAGGGGCTAAAGCAAACTTCTTCTCAAGAGCAATATTTAATTCTCAGTGCACATACTGTATTGATAGGTTTTATAGACAAAGATTTCCCTTGGATTATCGATCATTGGTTTTGATTACATTTAGGCCATACCAAATACCAAGCAAACATACAAAAAGTTGTCTACAAACGGACATTGGAAGGAACTACAACGAGATAAAATGAAGGCACCAAAAAAAAAAAAAAAGGCATGTACAATTCTATCAGTGCATCGCTTCTCGGCCTTTTGGCTAAGATCAAGTGTAGTAGAATTCTATCAAATTCTATGAATTCTATCAAAAGGTTCTGCAGAAATCTCTCCCGCTGGAAGTTAGCACCTCAGCAGCACACAGGACATCTTTCCATGCAATGATTCTCATTAATTCTCAAGTCTAAAATCTGTTGGTATAGAGAATATTGCCTTTTCTATACATTTTTTTCTTTTTTCTTTAAAATTATTTTAACATTCAGAATGCCTCGTGAATTTGCATGTCATGCTTGCACAGGGCCCATGCTAATCTTCTCTGTATCGTTCCGGTTTCAGTATATGTGCTCTTAGAGCAAGCACCATTTTTTCAGACATTTTAGAATTTTTTATCGATTCAAAAAGATGATAATGTTACAATGAAATGAAAGAAAAATGCTTATAATTCTCTGTTTCATAGTATCTTTTTAACATTTCAGTGGGTGTCACAGAAAACTTGTTGTATCTTTGTATATGAATATGTATGTACCTATTTTTATTTATTTCTACCTATATTTAACCACGAGACAGCTGTTAGACAAGCAGATAAAATAGGAAGAGAGATGAAATTCCCTCCTTCTTTTTAGCCATTTTTTTCAATAAATCATATTACTTTCCTTTGTACTTGATTCAAAAGCCATCAAAAAATCCATCCTTGTTACAGCCTCAGCACCAAAAGCAAGCATCGGTAAAAGTTTGGAATAATTCCAGAAGGACCTTAATATGTCAATGTATATTGACAAGTTTCTTTTAAAATAAGTAAAAAGAAATTGCAATTCCTGATTTTGCAGTTTCTTCACACCACTTATAACCAAGAAACCGATCTAACAGCGCTAGTCCAAGAATTTACAAACTATTCCCAGCTCAACTCCTTAAGATGATTCGAGAAATTCAGTAAGGATTTAACATAAAGACAGATAGGAACTGAAAGTGCTTCGACAAAATATACATAATGAAGAAAATTTTTTACAGCAAAGTGTTTGAGTCTGTTATAACACAAAGGAAAACGATGATTGATTACATTAAGGAGAATGCTCGTTTCACCAAAAAATCACTAAACAGACATACGCTTTGTTTTAGATATGATGTGTGCTCTGATTCCTAAAAAAGCTAAAAACCAACCAAAGGACTAATAATTACTTTCTTCATTCCAAACATGCTCAAGCTTTCATAAGTTCTAGTGGTTTTGTTATCTCACAACTGATAATCCAAATATTCCTGTATCAGCTAATTTTCTTAAGACTATAATCAACTAAATATGTGCATCCCAAATCAGAAAAGCTGCTATTTTATTGCTGTCTAACAGTGGTCTTGAAAGCTTATACTAGAAAAGCTAGTGGGGATAACTACAGGGTATTTGGAATTTGATAATTAAAAAGAAAAAAAATACTTATTCAGCTATGTCATGCAGATCACTAAGTGGGGAGAAATGGGATCTTTTACATATTGATACTGCTGAGATAATCAGTGAATTCACTGGGCCTTGGGTTCTTGCTTATGGACATGAAATATCCATATCTAAAAAAAAAGTGGTGAAAAATTAAAAGGTCTGGCATTGTGGCATAATACCAACATTTAACATGGGTCCCAGTTTGCATCCTGGCTGCTTCATTTCTAATCCATCTCCCTGCTAATGGCCTGGAAAAAGCAGCGCAAGATGGTGCAAGCTTTGGGACCTACCACCAGTGTGGGAGGAATGGATAAAGTTCCTGGCTTCTAGCTTCTTCAGTCTGGCTCAGTTCTGGCCCTTGGAGCTATCTCAGAAGTGAACCAGTAGTTGAAAGATTTCTCCCACTCTGTCTCTTCCCTGTGTAATTCTGACTTTCAAACAATAATAATTAAAAAAAGGAACAGTTCCTCAAAACAATAGAAAGCCAAATCAATCTTGGTCCCTTAATTGTAAACATAAGATTGTCATCACCACCATAATTATGATCATCTCTTGTTAAAAGAAATGTTTAACAAAATTACTTATCTACAACATTTAAGAGAATTTTTTTTCTTAAAACTTTGTAAATGGTAAAATAAATATTTAGTGTTATTGAACTTTCACATTTCTACCAAAAGTAGATTTTTTTCTCATCTTTAAGTTCCATTTCATGACAGACTTTATGGGATGAGTCATAAGAATGAATAAAAGAGGTTATAAATACAGCTCTTTAGTAAGATCAGAGGTAAGGCTGTCATAATATTACAAGACTGAACAAATGAAAGAGCTTGATAAGAAAGGAGCTACATAGTTTAAAATTCAGTTTAAAGTCTACCTCAACTATTTTGAGACACTTCTTGCTGCCTCTTTGCACATTCAATTGCCTTATCATAAGGGCTCCCAAGAGTGGCTAAATACCACAGAAATTCCATCTGAGCCTCGCACCCAATAGGAACGCACTAACCACCACATTCATGGCAAGCACAGTGCTAGATGCACTCTGCGTCTTCCATTCTGTTCCCTTTCTTTTCTCGGCAATGGCCCCTTGTCTTCAGTGGTAGTGGAGAGGGCTGGTTCCCGATCTCCCCTTACACATAGCAGCATAGCATTTTCATGTAGTCAACGCACATCCTCTATACTTTAAATCATCTTTGGATTACATATAATACCTAACACAATGCATCTCCTATGTTAATGATTATTATGGCATTGCTTGGGAAATAATGGCAGGAAAACACAGATCTGAACATATTCGGTACATAGGCATCCGTTGTGGGACTGACACGTAGAACAGAAACGAGATGCAATGGGAATGACGTTCTTGAGGGCTAGAGCTAGACGGAAGACTTGTGAAATGGGGACAGGGAGGGGACGTACCTACACCTCACTCAATTCACATGGTTTCAGTATAGTGCTCAGCAAGAGCACAGAGGCAAGTTTTACCAGTGGGAAATTTCTGAAAATGCTGTAAAAGGTTCTGCAAACACAGAACCCCAGGGGTGTAGTCAATCTACTGTATAACAATGCATATAAGAAAAATAGCACTCTTTGAGATGAGAACAGTTTAAGTAACACAATTGCTAAATAGCTGAGCCAGAATAAATAGATAGGTCTGATTCATTGTGAAATCCATGTGTGAGTTGGACACAGAATGGGTTCATATTATTCATGCATAAAATAGAGATAGTAAAAACATCTGATGGACAGGGTTGTTTGTATTTTAAAACATGCTGATGTGAGATGATAATTTGGTCCACTTCATTTTGGTCCAGCTTGTATGACAGTGACTTTCTTGAATGCCTAGATGTGCATTTTATTCTATGTTATGAATCAAATACTAGGACACATACAAATGTAATTTGCAGGTTGAGTGGCCAGCATTGTGGCACAGTAGATTGGGCCATTGCTTGTGATGCTGATACTCCGTGCTGCCTCTAATTCAACTTCCTGCTGATATACCTGGGGAGGGCAGTGGAAAATGGTCCAAGCATTCAGGCCCATGTCACCCACATGGGAGACTAGATACAGATCCTATCTACTGCTTTTGGTCTGGCCCGGCTCTGGCTGTTGAAATGATTTGGATGTTGAACAAATGGCTGTGACATTTCTCTCATGCCATCTTTCAAACAAATAAATAATTTCATAAAAATTATAGAAAACATTGAAATTCTAACCTTAAGGCAATATCATAAGAAATTAGACTGTTTGTGAGGCTACGAGGGCATAAGAGTTCTGCTCTCAATGGTACAATTAGTCCCATGAAAGAGAACCAAAGAGCACCCATTTCCATCATGAAAAGACACAGCAAGAAGTCACCGATCAATAAGCAAGAAAACCAGTGTCTAACCATGCCAGTCAGCTACTCACCTTGGAATTCTCACTCTCCAGAGTTTTACTGCTTATCTGTTACTCCTCTATAGTATTTTTAAATTTTTACTTAAAAAATTTGAATTTATTGTTGCGCTAACAAAAATGAACTATGACAGTATCTAACTGTAATGATTCTTCTTATTTTGGAATATACTGGTTTATACATGGCATGGGTACCAAAATATTACCAAGCAGTATCTAAATAAATAAAATATGCTTAAATATGGTAAGCCATTATATTTCCCTCAAAAACCAGAGAATAAAATCTCCATCTCCATTCGTTTCAACAGACCTCAGGATAAACGCTTGACTAGTCTCACTTTCCCACAAACACTTCACTCCATCCTTGTTTGAGACTCTGGCTTGGGTTTCTGTCCTTTTCCTCCTAGTCTACTGGACAAGGCCTAGGCATAGGTCCTGACATGTTCATGAACTCAATACGTAGTACATGGATTCCTTGGTCTGAATGCCTGAGTCCTTTTCCTGGCTGCATCCTTGCCATCCAGGTAATCTAGTCATGCTCTTACTCTCTCTGTGCCTCTGGTCCTTGATCCAGAAGATGACGATCACATTATGTTTTTTCTGTTCCCCAAAAAAGTACATGTAGATTTTCTTACCCATGGAAGCAAGCACACAAAGATGCTAGTTTAAATGACTGAAGACTGAGGGTGGTGTGAGTGGGTGACTGACACAGCAGTTAAAATACCCGAAGGGATGTCTACATCTCATACCAGAGTGCGTGGGTTTGAGCCCTGGCTCCACTCCTGATTCAAACACCTTGTAATGTGCTCCCTGGCATGTAACAGCTTTGGCTCTAGAACTTGGGGACTTATCTCTCAAATGGGAATTGAGCTCCTGGCTTCAGATTGCTCCAGTCCCATTTGGGAAATGAAACAACACAAGGAATATGTGACTATTTCCAACTCTTTGCATTGTTGTCTTACACATGACATACGTTAGAAGACTTAAATGTATATACAGTTGGAAAGGCAGAGCAAGAAATAGTATAAATGCAATGGTACAGGGTACTGATACTTTTGGTAACATTGTACCTGTTCCATCACATGAACTGTCCATTGCAGACTATTGTTTGGGGGCAGGTTTAATTCTGTTTTCCTATTCGATATTTTATAAGATGTATTTTAAAAAATTGAAATGTTAATCATGCCATTTTTAGAAATATCTTGAGATGCAGTCTGACATGCCTCTGCATCCTGCTTCCTACACATACCCTAGCTACACCCATTGCACCTATTGCTGCAAAGCTACCCCTTCTTCATTCTGGTCCTTAGAGCTGACCCCACACATTCTATCCTTTTAGTTCCTCCCATATCGTCTACTCATTCATAGCTGCAATATGGAGCAATACTTAAAATTGCAACATGATCACAAATTTTCCCCTTAAGTCGGTACACAGAAAATATTTTCAAAGAGAAATGGAATGAGATAAAAACAGTAAATGTGGAATTACGACTTAGATTTCAGACTCCAATGTATTTTGTACGCTCTCAGCATGCCATGGTGT